ATGCTGGGATATTTTAATATCCATATATGTTATATTTTAAAATATTCATCCACAGACTGTTTCGCTGTATCTTTGAAAATTTTCATTTATTGGTATATATATGCATTTATTCCTTTTTTTTTTTTTGTGGATCCTTCCTGTGTGTGTTGAATGTGTGTGTGTTTTAAGGACAACCATCTTATTGTATTTTCCTTCCAATTTCATCCTTAAAATTTTTCTTATGTGCGTGAAATAAATTAATCATCCTTCATTTACTATGTCTATGTAATCATTTTATTTTTGTTGTAATTCTCTTTTTTTCCTTCATCTCTGTATAAAAAAATATATATATCTATTTTTTCTAATAGAATTATCGTTCCATTTCTTCTTCTTTTTTTCTTACTTCCCATCATTTTCCATTTCTTCCTAAAATATCAAAGTTTCTTGACAGGAAAATTTTTTCTATTTTTTGATTTATTTTCTTTCTTTTTTTTTTCTTGTGAACAGTTTATATTATCATATATTTATTTCTTCAACCTTAGCACCATAAAGAAGTGTGTGTGTGCTTCCATTCTGTATGTGATTATCTTTCATTTATAGGAAGTTGTCATCCTTTCATTCTTCTTAAAGCTGTTGATGTTCCATTTGTGTTTTTTATACTTCGTTCGATTCCTTTTTGCATCAGACAATTCTTCCTTAATCGGACTAATTTTTATTATTTCATCGATCAGATTCTTCTTTCCTTTTATTCTGTTTCTGTTTCTTTCTTTTTTTCCATTTTCCTTCTTTCTATTTCCATTCTTTTTTTCTTCTCGTCATCCTTTTTTTCTTATATATATATAATAATAATAATGTATATCATTTCATATAGATTTATTCTTTCCTTTCTCCTTTTCTGCCTCTCTATATTTTCCTTTCTTCTACCTTCATTTTTCATTCATCGTCCATCATTCCATTTTCCTATTTAGGTTTTTCTTTCTTTTTCACTTCAGACTTCCTTCTTTTTCCTTCTTCTGTTTCTTGTTTTTTGCTTTTCACTTTACATTTTTTTTACCCCTAGCTTTCTTCCTTCTATCTTGTCTTTTTTTTCTTTTTTTTTTCATTTTCCTCATTTTCCCTTCTTTTTCATTCCTTTTCCTTCTTCTTTCTCCTTTTTTCTTTTCTTTTTTTATTTTTTTTTCCTTCTTTTTCTTCATTTTTCCCTTTTTCTTTTCCATTTTTCCGATCTTTTTAAGAATATGTTTATCTTTTTTTTCCTCATTTTTTTCTCCTTTTTCCTTCATTTTTCTTTTTTCCTTCTTTTTTCCCTTTTTTTCAGTTTTCTTTTTTTTTTTCATGCTTTCTTTTTCCCTTCATTTTTCTTTTCTTTCTTTTTTTTTTTCCTTTTTTTTTTTCTTTTTTCTTTCTTTTTTTCTTTTTTCATTCTCCTTTTTTCTTCCTTCCATTTCTTTCATTTTTTCTTCATTTTTTTCCTTTTTCATTTTCTTTTTTTTCAGGCTTCTTTTTTTTTTTTTTTTTTTTTTGATTTTCTTTTTTCGCTTTTTTTTCTTTTTTTTTTAAACGTTTTTTTCATTCTCTTCCTTTTTTCTTTTTTTTTTTCCTCATTTTTCCTTTTTTTTTTTTATTTTTTTTTTTTTTTTTTTTTTTTCTTTTTTCATTTTTTTTTTCCTTTTTTTTTTTTCATTCTGTTTCCAGGGAGCCATTCAATTTTTTTTCATTTTTTTTTTTCCATTTTCCTTTTTTCTTTTTTTTTTTTTTACCTTCTTTTTCCTCCCCCATTAAAACAAATTTTTTTCCAAAAAGGTTTTTTTTCTTTTTTTACTTTCTTCTGTTTTCCCTTCATTTTTTCTTAAAATTTTCCTTTCTTTTTTTTCTTTTCTTCATTTTTTTTTTTCTTTCATTTTTTTTCTTTTTTGAATTTCCTTCTTTTTCTTTCTTTTTTATTCAGAATTTTCTTCTTTCCTTTTCCTCATTTTAACCTTCTTCTTTCCTTCATTTTTTGTTTTCATTTCCTCCTTTTCCTTCATTCTTTTTTCTTTCTTTTTTTTTCCTTTCTCCTTTTCCTAATTTTCTTGATTTTTTTTTTTTCCACTTTTCCTTCATTCCTTTTTCCTTTTTCTACTTTGTTTTTTCTTTCATTTCCGCTTTGATCCTTTTTCCTTCCTTTTTCCTTCTTTTTTCCTTCCTTCATTTTCCATTTGGTTTTTATTCATTCTTTCCTTCCATTTCTACTCCTTCCCCTTTCCTTTTCTTTTCCTTTTAAAAATATCCATTTTCCTTTTCATTCCTTCATTCTTTCTTTTCTCATTTTTTTTCATTTTCCCTTCATTTCTTTTATTTTCTTCCCTTCTTTTCCTTTCCTTCATTCTTCCTTCTTTTCCTTCTTTTTCCTTCATCATTCTTTTTTTCCTTTCTTTCCTCTTTTTTTTCATTTCTTGTTCCTTTTTTCTCCTTCTTCCTTTATTTCTTTTTTCCTTTTTCCTTTTTCCTTCATTTAGATTTCCTTCATTTTCCTTTTCTTTCTCTTTTTTCCTTCATTTCTTTTCCTTTTTCTTTTCTTCATTTTGCCTTCTTTTTTTTTTTTCCTTCTTTTCCTTTTTCCTTTTCCTTCCATTTTCCTTCATTTCATTCTCCTTTTCCTTCACATCATCCTTTTTTTCCTTCATTTCTTTCCATTTTTCCCTTTTCTTCTTTCCTTCTACCTTCACTCTTTCCTTCATTTCTTTTCCTTCCTTTTCCTTCCATTCCTTCTCTTCCACTTTTCTTTTTTCTTTTTTCCTTCATTCCATTTTTCCATCATCCCATTTTCCTTCCATTCCCCTTTTTATTCATTCCATTTTCCTTCTTCTCTTTTCCTTCTTTTCTTCCTTCATTTTCTTCCTTCATTCCTTCTTTCTTCTTCCTTTTCTTTCCAACATTCCCTTTCCTTCTTCTTCCGCTTTTCCTTCATTTTCCTTCCCATTCATTCTTCCTTTTCCTTCCTTCCTTCTTCCTTCATTCCGTTTTCCTTCATTCTTCCTTCATTCCTTTTCCTTCATTCCGTTTCCTTCTTCTTTCCTTCTTTCCCTTTCCTTCTTTTTCCATTTCTTCCTTCCCTTCTTCCTTCATTCTTCCTTTCCTTCTTCCCCTTTTCCTTCATTCCTTTTTTCATCCATTCCACTTTTCTTTCATTCCATTTCCTTCATTCCCCTTTTCCTTCATTCTTTTTTCCCTTCATTTCATGTTCCTTTCCTTCATTCCTTCCCCCTTCGTTTCCTTCATTCTTTTTCATTTATTACCTTCTTCATCCTTCTTCATTTTCTTCCCTTTGAAATCATCCTTCCATTTTTGCCTTCCTTTCCTTCGACGTGGTTCAATTTTCCTTTTCATCCTTGATTTCTTCCTGAATAATCAGTCCTTCCATGTTTCCTTCTTCTTCATCCTTCCATTTCTTCTTTTCCATCATTTCTTTTAATTTTTCTTCACTATTTACATTCATTCACATTCATCATCCTTTCCATTTTCGGTCCATCAGCTTTTATCAGGCATTCCTTTTCTTCCATCTTTAGGAATTTATGTACATTTCTTCCATTCTTTTTGTTCCTTCTTCTTTCCTTCTTTCTTCCTTCCCATTTCCTTCCATCTTTTGTTCTTTACTTTTGATTTACATTTTTTCCTTTTCCTTCATCCTTGTACATTTCTTCTTTTTCTTTCCTTGTTCCTTTCCTTTTTTCCCCTTTTTCCTTCCTTTTTTACCTTCCCATTTCTTTTCATTCTAGAAACAAGGGCTTTCATTTCTTCCTTTTTTTTCCCCTTTTTCTTCCTATCTCTTTTCCTTCATTCTTTTTTCCTTCTATCATCCTTCCATTTCCCTTCATAGCAACAGCCTTCCATTTGTTCCTTTCTTCATCGTTCCATTTCCTTTCCTTCCTTCTTCCTTGCTATTTCTTCCTTCCTCCACCTCGTTCCCTTTTCCTTCCTTATCATTCCTTTCTTCCTTCCACCATCCTCTACCTCGTTCCTTTACCTTCATCTTTCTGTTACATTTCTTCCTCTACCTCATTCCCTTTTCTTCCTAAAATTCTTCCTTCCATTGTGTACATTTCTTCCTCGTTTCTTTCCCTTCCTTATCCTTTGATTTTATTTACATTTCTTCATATTTACCTCAGTTTCCTTTCCTTCGCAAAATCCCTTCCTTTCTTCCTATCATTTTCATTTTCCTATCCTTTGTTTCCCTTTCCTTCCCATCATTTCTTCCCCACTATCATACATTTTCTTTCTTCCGGTCCTCGTTCCTTTCCTTAGAAACATTTTTCTTCATCATCCCTTCCATTTCTTCCTTTCCTTCATAGAAATCTATGTAATTTTACATATCTTCCTCTATCCTTCCCTTTCTTCCCAAACTTAGCTAGTTAATAACAATACTTCTTTCTTCCTTTATCATTGATCTTACATTTCTTCCCTTTCCTTTTCTTATGTACATTTCTTCTTTCCTCACCTCGTTCCTTCTTCCCTTCCTATCCTTTGTTTTATGTTACATTTCTTCCTCTCCTCGTTCCTTTCCCTTCAGAAATAGCTAAACATTTTCTTCCTATCCTTTGAAATAATTTCTTCTCTACCTTTCTTTCCTATCATTCTTTTCTTATTTCTTCCTTCTCTAGCCTCTTTACCTTTTCCCTTTTACTTTTGAAACAGCATTTCCCTTCTTCCTCTACCTCGTTCCCCTTTCCCTGTCATTTCCTTCATTAGCTACATTTATTCTTCCTTCCCTCTACTTATGGTTCACATTTCCTTCCTAGAATCTTTTCTATGGTCCATTTCTTCCCTATCCTTTCCTTTGTGTACATTTCTTCCTATCGTTGATGTTCATTTCTTCTTTATTTTTTTTTCCCTTATAGAAACATTTCTTCTTATCATATCTTCTTCTACCTCGTTCCTATTCTTTCCCTTCATGTAATATTTCTTCCTTTCATTCTTTCATTTCTTCCTAATGTACATATTTTCCCCTCCCTTTCATTTCTTCATAACAGCTAGCTTGATGGTACATTTTCTTCCTCTTTCCCTTTAGAAAAAGTTATCTTGGTACATTTCTTCCTCTTTGATGCTATTTTCTTCCTATCCTTTAGGAAACAAGTTGCTACATTTTTCCTTCCTCTACCTCGTTCCTTTCCTTCATAGAAATAACTTGACTGTACATTTCTTCCTCGTTCTTTTCATAGTTTTCTTCCTTCCTTGAAGTAGTTTTCCTTTCTAGAAACATATCATTGATACATTTTTCTTCCTATCCTTTCATAGAAAAGCTAGCTACTATGGTACATTTCTTTCCTCATTCTAGCTACTAATGTACATTTCTTCCTATCCTTCTTATTTTGTTTCTTCCTTTCTTTCCTACATTTCCTTCTTCCTTTTTTTTTTTTTACATTTCTTCCTTCATTGAAATGCTAGCTACTTTCATTTCTTCTTCCTTTCCTTTCCTTCTCATTTCTTCTAGCTCATTATTACATTTCTTTCTATCCTCTACATGGTTCCTTTCTTCATTGCTAAACTATCCTTCATAGAAATAGCTAGCCCTATTATGTACATTTCTTCATCTCATTACCAATGTACATTTTTCCCTTTCCTTTCATAGAAATAGCTAGCTACTGTGTACATTTCTTCCTCTACCTCGTTCCCTTTCCCTTCATAGAAACTTCCTTTGAAAATAATGTACATTTCTTCCTCTACCTCTTTCCCTTTTCTTCATAGAAACAGCTAGCTGTAATTCTTACATTTCTTCCTCTACCTCTTCCCTTTCCTTCATAGAAATTATGTACATTTCTTTCTTATCTTTGTTCCCTTTCCCTTCCCTAGCAACATAGCCATTTCTTCCTCATAGAAACTAGCTACTAATGTACATTTCTTTTAAAATCCTTTAGAAATAGCTATAATGTACATTTCTTCCTAACCTCGTTCCCTTTCCCTTCTTAGAAAAGCTAGATACTATGGTCCATTTCTTCCTCTCTCGTTCCATTTCCATTCATGTACAGCTACTAATGTTTGATTTCTTCCTCTACCTCGTTTTCCTTCCCTTCATAGAAATAACTATTACTTGGTACATTTGTTCCTCTACCTCGTTCCCTTTCCCTTCATAGAAACATAGCTACTGTGGTACATTTCTTTCCTATCCTCCCTTCATAGAAATAAAACTTATAGAAATAGCTATCTCATTCACTAGTACATTTCTTCCTATCCTTTAATGACATGTTTGAGAAAAAAATAGAAATTAGATGTACATTTCTAGCTAGAAAGAAAGAAAGAAATAAAGAAAGAATTTCTTCCCTTCAAAGAAAAGAAAGGAGGATAGATAGATAGATAGATAGATGATAGATTTCTTAGGATAGATAGATAGATAGATTCTTCCTAGATAATGACGTTTGGGGAAAGAAATAAAACTTATAGAAATAGCTAGCTCATTCACTAGTTAGCTAGGTACATAATGACATGTTTGACAAAAAAACAGACCTTTAGCTAGCTAGCTAGCTAGAAAAGAAAGAAAGAAAGAAAAGAAAAGAAAGAAAGAAAGAAAGAAAGTAAAGGATAGATAGATAGATAGATAGATAGATAGATAGATAGATAGATAGATAGATAGATAGATAGATAGATAGATAATGACGTTTGGGAAAAGAAATAAAGAAATAGAAATAGCATTTCATTCACTAGTTAGCTAGGTACATAATGACATGTTTGAGAAAAAAACAGAAATAGCTAGCTAGCTAGCTAGCTAGAAAGAAAGAAAGAAAGAAAGAAAGGATAGATAGATAGATAGATAGATAGATAGATAGATAGATAGATAGATAGATAGATAGATAGAAATAGATAGATAGATAATGACGTTTGGGAAAAGAAATAAAACTTTATGAAATAGCTAGCTCATTCACTAGTTAGCTAGGTACATCTTGACATGTTTGAGAAAAAAAACTCTAAATTTCTTCCTAGCTAGCTAGCTAGAAAGAAAGAAAAGAAAGAAACTAAAGAAAGAAAGAAAAGAAAGAAAGAAAGGATAGATAGATAGATAGATAGATAGATAGATAGATAGATAGATAGATAGATAGAAATAGATAGATAGATAGATTTAATGACGTTTGGGAAAGAAATAAAACTTATAGAAATAGCTACCTCATTCACTAGTTAAATAGGTACATAATGACATTTGTTTGAGAAAAAAAAAAGAAATAGCACTAAATAGCTAGCTAGAAAAAAAGAAAGAAAGAAAGAAAAAAAGAAAGAAAGAAAAGATAGATTTCTTAGATAGATAGATAGATAGATAGATAGATAGATAGATAGATAGATAGATTTCTTAATGACGTTTGGAAAGAAATAAAAACTTATAGAAATAGCTAGCTCATTCACTAGTTAGCTAGGTACATAAATGACATGTTTGAGAAAACAGAAATAGCTAGCTAGCATTAGCTAGCTTTCCTTCAAAGAAAAAGAAAGAAAACAAAGAAAGAAAGAAAGAAAAGAATAGATCATAGAAACAGATAGATCTTATGAGATAGATAA